TTCTTTTCTTCAGCATCACGTTTCTATTTGAATTTAGTTCCTTGAGTTCTGTCCTTTTGCCCATTTCCATGTGAAACACTCTGTAACTAACTGCTGTCAAGAGAGGAGCCCAACGCATTAATAATAAAGCCACATTAACTGCGAACAAGAACACTTCCGTTTCAAACTGTTCTTTGAGTGAGTCCATGCTGTGGGCAGAGGCACACAGACCTTCCCTCCAGTGCTGGCCAGCCGGTAAGTACAGGTGGCCCCAGCCATTCCACCAACACAGCACCTTCACTAGAAGCTGCTGAAACTTCCCTGTGGCCCGAGGCAAGGGAAACATCCCTCAGGGGCCTTGAGCTGACCTGGGGCACCCACCACCTCCTCCCGATTTACAGTTCCAGCTCCAGAGGAAGCACTGGGGCCCTTGTGCAGGGGGCCGAGGGTCCAGGTGGAGACACAGCCCTTGATGCTCCAGTGTGGAGCCCAGCACAACCTGTCTTGCCAACACTGCAGCTCCTCAGAATTCCCGACTGGTGCTTTCCATTGTGGCCCTCTGCCTGCCCTGGCACTTCTTGGGAAGGGCAGCTCTGACCAGCACTACTGGTGTTCCTTGAACTGGAAACATCTCTGGTTCTGTGGGATGCAACCCATGGCACTGCTTGGCCCGGAGCTGGCCACCAGCCAGCCAGGCAGAGCACCTGGATCAGAGACTGGGCCCATGGCTAGCCAGGTACCTGCCTGTCCTTATTGCAGCAGCCGGCCACTGTACCTCTGCAGAACTCCAAACTGAGCTCTGAAGGGAAGCCACTTTATTTCAGCTCTTTTAGCTACTCAGCAGAAAAAGAGAGCAGCCCCTGCTCTGGCAGTGCTGGGCAGCAGTCAGATCGTTTCAGTAACCGGGGCTGCCTGGACCTTGCCATGCCAAAGGCCCAAAGCCTGCATGTGTTGTACAACCCGACAGTCTCTCCAGTTCCAAGGGCTTTGCTCCTCCATCCCAACTGACAGAGGACCTGTCACTTTCCACAGCCTGCAGGATGTTGCCATACTCTAGCTATTGGCATAGACAGTTGGTATTTCCTGCCTGTTCTGCCACACAACCTGGACCCATTGCTCTACACTGCTTTCTCACTGCACACAGCAACAACAATTCAGGAAGAGTTTTGCTTGGCTGCATCTGCCAGGGGTTTGACAAGCCTGATCCAAACCATTCCAGCTACTACAGGCAAAGTTTGTGGCTACACCCAGCCAGAGACACAGGACCATGCAGCAGCCATTCGTGCGTATCACTACTTAAGCAGCCCAAAAGCATTTGAAAGTGCAGCTTATGCATCAGCACAGATTTGAGGAGCCAGCACTGGCTTTGGACTAAGGCAAAAATATCGGCTCCCACCACTGTATCCAGAAATTGAGCAACTGTCCTTTTTTCCCCCCCTCCTTTATGACTCACAGCACTTCCTTACACCACCCTTCAGTTTGGAAAGGGCTTTGTGATTAAGCACCATTGCTGCTAAGCCAAAGAAAAACACAGTAAAGACACAGCATAAGAGCAGATGTTCAGTGCTCAGATTTCACAACACACTCTGCAGGTGTTCATGTGGCAGTGTTAGAGCATCACAAAAGACCACAAACTTCTCAGAGGAAGCTATTAAGCAGCTCTTTAAAAAAACCAAAACCAAAACAAACCAAAACAAAACCTTAAAAAACAGTACAATTCCTTCTTGGCTTATCTATTGAAGGGAGCAGAGGTAGACTAGAGCCCAGTTATTGCACCACTGCAGGCAGTCCAGCTTTCTTCTTGTCTGCCTGTGGGACAACACCTGCCCTTGAGTTCAGGACATTTGCTTTCACAGCATAAGCACTTCTAGTCACAAGTAACCAGGCTGTGTCCCTGCTACCCTGCCCTGCATCAGGAAACCCTCTGATGCTACAGATTATCTGGAGAACAAAGCTTCACAGGATTACCAGTATGCAACGTACCAATGCAGGCAGAAATTATCAGGAGGGTAATTAGAGGAATATTAGAGGACTCCAGCAACCAAAAGATATATTCAGAAGCTGAAATTAGACACTAATTAAAATTTGTAGAAATAGTCTCAACTTAGGAATATGGAGGTTTATATTTTTCATCACAGCAAAAACCCTTCTGGCCTCTCTCCTGGGCCTGATCTCTGACTGAGCTGCAGAGCCACAGCAGCCGAGCTCCTTCCTGAGCATCATTCCCTTTTCATTTCCAGGTGAAGAAATGGGCTGAAGATTGGGGAACATTATAAACAGTGGGGTTTGTGAGTGGCAGCAGCCTACCCAGGAATTCAACTACTGCAGGACTTGGCCAGCCTTTCTTGCAGAACGCGGCCTTCAGAGCCTCACAAAAAGGCCACTTTTGTACTCAGCTGACAGAGCACATCCTGCAGCAGCAGCTCTTGGGCAGTGCCACAGCACTTGGGCTGCCCCTGCCAAGCCACGGAAAAACAAGGACTCTGCAGCCGGTAGCCGCTTTCTCTGGGGGGAAGGGTTCAGGCCACAAAGTGCCCAGAGTCCCGTCGGTCTCCGCTGCTTGGCGGTATGCTGGGAGGGCAGCTGGCACCGGCAGCATCCCCCCGCTGAGCCCCTGCAACACAGGGAGAGCAGACAGGCAGGTCTGCTGGGCATTCGTATGCAGTAAAGCCATCCCACCATCAGGCTCCTGGGCCCTAGAATCGATGAGCTCCCACCTGAGAGCCAGGCCCTCACCCCACAAAACCCTGCTTGGTGACCTGCTCGTGCCACCACTGAAGGAGCCGTGCCCGACTCAGCAATGACAGCTTGTGGCAGGTGATGCCTGGTCCGTCACAGCAACCACCCT